CTCCACAACCCCCTAATTCAGTTCCTTAAAACAAATTTGTTACAACACACACACACACACACACACACACACACCACCATCACCACCACCACCACCAACAACAACACACTGGTTCTATTTCTTTAGAAAACCCTACCTCTGAGTAATACACCAAGTAAATGTTAAACAGATGGTGAAGTAAAATGGACCATGTGGTCAGACTAATTGTGCCTCATAGACAAAAAAAAGCATAATAGGAAGTAATAAAACACAGATTTTGAGATAAGAGGCAGTTAAGAGCTGAATGTGGCACTCCTTAAATCCCAGCTGAGGCAGCAGATCTCTGTGAGTTGGAGGCCAGCCTGGTCTACAAAGTTAGTTCCAGGACAGCCGGGGCTACACAGGGAAACCATGCCTCCAAAACCCAAAGGGGTGGTGGCAGTTAAGAACAAAGGTGCTCATCAAAGCCAAAGGACCAAGCATGAAGGCGAACAAAGCCTCCTGCTCTTTTTAAGGCCCCATCTGAGGGCAGCCGAGCAGAATGGTTTCTGCTGACAGTGCAGATAGAAGCTTCCTTGCAGCACTGTCCTGTGTGTTAAGCATGTTAGGGAAGTCGCTCTACCATAGAGCCACATCCCCAGTCTCTAGGTTAACGTTGCTACCTGCTCTGTAGCTCTATTTCCCTGTCTGCAAAATGGAGATAAGAAAAAAGATAATACGTCCGTCTTCTCAGAAACTGATGTAAATTCTCATTACTGCCTATTTGACTGATTCATTCCTAATGCAGGAACAGTACACAAACCAAGGGGAAACCAGCCTTAGCTGCCTGGCTATTAACACTTTGTGCATTATTTTCTATCATCCAAGTGGTGAGAAAATATTTTTGATGAGACAATGAAGATGAAATACTGTCTTGTAGATCCCCCAAAGGCTCAGCTGAAAAATAGGACTGACTGTGATCAGTTTTCATGGTCAACTTGCTATAGTCTAGGAACACTTACAGAAGGAGTCTCGGTAAAGGATTGCCTAGATCAGGTTGGGCTGTGGGTGTGTCTTGCAGAATTATCTTGATTATTTTTATGGAGATGAGAAGCCCTGCCCTCATGGACCTGGGCATGCCGAGCCCTGTGGACTATGGACAAGGTTTAGAAAGAGTTTGAGGGGCAGCCGAGAGCCACTAGAGAACCCTGAGGCAAGGGTGACATGCACTGTGTGGTAGAGTCTGGAGTACTGATTTGGGGGAAGCTGGAAGAGCACTGGGGTTGGTAGCCTTGCTTGTAGATGCTGGAACATAAGACAGAAGGGTCACTGGGGAACTGGGAAAACCTGGCAAGGAAATGGGTGTGGAAGATAAAGAAGGACGTGTCGAGAACTTCTCTCCAGCCACTGGTTTATGTTTCTGGCTGGATAATGGATCCACGCACACTGACTTACTTGTAAGAACTGGATCTTCATAGTTCTAGGAATCTCCCACGAAGTTCTGTTAGTGAATCTTGGCTAGAAAAGATCATCTACAGAGGTGGTTTTTAATCACAAAGACCAAATTTAGTGGCTAATGAGTTTATCTTTCTGTGGAGACAGCTTGCCTTCTTTCAAATCTTGTCACTCAACTGTCTATATCATGCATGTCCTGTCTTGGTTAGGGTTTCTATTGCTGCGACAAAATACCATGACCAAAAGCGATTTGAAAGGTCTGTTTCATCTCATCCCCCACCCCCACCATCCCCGACTACCCCCCCATCCCTCGCCCCCGCCAATCACAGTCCATCAATGGAGGAAGGTCAGAACAGGAACTCAAACAGGACAGGAACCGGGAGGCAGGAGCTGATGCAGAGGCCATGGGGAGTTGCTGCTTACTGGCTTGCTCCCGAAGGCTTGCTCAGCCTGCTTTCTCATAAACCGGTCAACACTAGCAAGGAGTGGCCCCACCCACAATGATCCGAGCCTTCTCACATCAACCAATCATAAGTCAAGAACAAGCACATCTGCTTGCCCACACGCCAATCAGATGAGAGCATTTCCTCAATAATGGGTCTCTCTTCAAAAACACCTCTAGTTTGTGTCAAGTCCGCGGAAAGCTTATGCGCACACTGCCCAAGTGAGTTTCCTCACTCACTCTGCAGCGCTTTCAAGCTGCTGTTTTTAGAGCAGCTTGTTGGAAAAACTCGACTTGATTTTTCTTTAAGCCTGAGCTCTTGTTCTATGTTTTGGTGCAGTTACTCTTCCTTCTCCATAAAGAGGAAGATTTCCAACTTTCCCATCAGAGATACTTCCCTACCAACTACTTCCTCAGACCCCACTGGCCCCAGCCAACCACATGGACCATGATGTCTCCGGCTTGTGTGGGCTCAGGGTTCTCTATGGCTATGACCACTGCAGAGTGCATTGTGGTGTGGCGTTAGCATTGGATTGTCTTCCTGGCAGACCTTAGAACTTCTTGAGAAACCTGGCCTTGTCTTAGTTTTATCCACAAGTCCCAAAATGAAGCCACAACTCAAGGTCAGGGGAGAAATGTTGAATTTAATTGAGTTTAACTAAAAGCGTAATACTCCAAGAAAACTCTACCGTCTAAGTCTCTTGATTACTTAGAGGAACATGTGAATGCAGACACAGCAAAGTATACCCAAAGGACATTTTTTTTTGAAAAATCACCCTAAATGGCTATTTAGGCCCAAACTTAACATTAAACCAGTCATGCCAAATATAACACCTTTCTTATCTGCCTCTCACCTCTGCTTTGCCCTTCCTGAGCAAAGTGGGGCCCATGCTTTTCTGAGGAACAGAGGAAAGAGGCTGCGGTGGAAGAATTACTCCTACAGATATATTCTACAGCTTTACAAGACTCTACCTCAGTCCTTAGTAGGGCAAGAAGGGTGTAGAGGGACGAGACTGGTGCTGTGGTGAGCACGCATGCGCAGGAGCTGAGCCCGGGAGAGAGAGACGTAACCAGCTCTGCGTGAGCTTGCACTCGCAGGTCGTTTGAGTCTTTCCTCACCATGTGGCTGTGTAGAGTGGATAAGAGCAAAGCAGGCTAATACTTCCCCTGCACAGCTTTTGTCAGGGGACTCAGGGTTTTTAAGATGCTGTCAAAAACAGCATACAGGCTTTCTCATGCTAAAGTTTCTGGAGCCTTCCACCTCTGGGAAGTACACGTGGTACACTGCTGACAATTTTCAAACAAAAGGAACTTGATGAAGTGAGGCCTCGAATCCCTAAGGGAGAAAGTGAAGGGGTCTTTTCACTCCCAACTCAAGACACATGGACAAAGCAAGGAGCGAGTTGACGTGTACACACGAGAAGGTTTCTAATCCAATTCCATCTGGATCCAATCTAATCCAATCACTTCTGACTTCTGCCTTCACAAGACATGATGACAAAGATGATGATAGTACTGGTGATGATGATGATGGGGATGGGGATGATGATGATGATGATGATGAAGGTAGCCCACACTCATGTGTGCTTACTGCTGCATACCAACCTCCGTTCTAAGAGCTTTCTGTAAATTAACCTATTTTATTCTTTCTTCTTTTTATTTATTCTTCTCTCATACAATACATCCCAAAAGAAGCCTCAACTCCTCCTAGTCTCCCCTCCCCTCTCCTCTCCCCCGGATCCACTGTTCCTCTGTTTCCTTTCAGATAAGAGCAAGCCTCCCAGGGATATCAACTGAACTTGGCGTAACAAGATGCCATAAAACTAGGCACAAATCCTCAATTAAGGCTGGATGAGGAGGAGAAGAGTCCCAAGAGTAGGGAAGAGTTAGAGATACCCCACTCCCAATACCGAACTATTACAATGAATGAATGTGAGGTACAGAAAGGTTTAGTCATTATCCCAGCTGAGCAAAGGACAGCCAGGACTCAAACCCACGTAGTCAGGCTCCAGGCTTTGACATTGTACTTGGAAGTACTCTGGAGCCTACCATCAGACATGTAGTTATTGGTTACAACAGGCACCTAAAAAGCTCAAACTCAGTGAAGCCGAAAGAAGATTATGTGAGTAGAACCCTGAACACCAGAAGGGCATCAAGATGGGAGGTGTCTTTCAGTTTCAACTGCCGCATTCATCAGAGTCCTAAGAATGTATAATAAAATTCTCAACTATCTCGAATTCCTGAGAACAGTAAAAGTATAGGCATACTCAATACACTAGAGGCACCAATATTTACTTATGGGAGCTTTTCATCGTTCTATATATAGGCTCAGTCAGTGAATGCCTCTATGTCAACCTTAGCAAATAGACTGTGGTTTGTGTTACTGGAGTCCAACAACCAACTGGAGGGGTGAGTCAACAGTTACAGCAGCCCAGAGGAGACCAACTCTTCAGATCTGAATGAGCCACTTAGAATCTAAGTCCTTGAAGGACCACTAGAGTAGATCCAGAAAGAAACGAGGGAAAATATTCCCCATTTATTGGGGGAATTTGCAAGCCCACCAGGGATCAGGAGAAGTTAGCCAAGACGAAAAAAGTACAAGGTCCAAGCTTTTTAGACCCAAAGGCACAATGTCTTTGGGAATGAAGGACACCTGGACAGCCTAGCAGGGGAGAGGATGTGAACAGTACTGTCACTGTAGAATGGCACTGGAGAGTGGTGGAGAATTTTTGAAAGGACTAAAAATACTGAGGTCTGAGCCTTAGTAAATAATTGCTACAGCATTTTGTGTGGGTGGAAGTGGGAATGTGGGAGTCAGGCATCACTGGTTTAAAGTTAAGATGCAGTTGGATGTAGGTAGAACATCCTTCCACTGGTTGCTGGCGGGCTTCTGTAGCAAAAGCTACAACTGATTTACAAGTATTGAGACAGCACACTTCTCAAACCAATACATCAATATGTTAATAAACGCACCAAAGCACCTCAGTGTTAAAATCCTGAGAGATGATGTTTCAAAGCTGTTTGTCACTGCATGAACAGAGAAAACTACAATTTTTAAGAAAGGTTAAGAATTTAGGGCAAAGCCACCATGTATAGTCAATATTTGCCACTTATCGTTGTCAAATTTTGTAAATATTTCCACCAGAAAATGGAATCTGGGCGGATGAAGAATAAGCAGCGTAAGAAATGCAATGTCTTCAAGAGGAGCAAGTGTTGTTTTCTCTGCGTTTCCTTAAGAGAAGTGGATAGTGAAAACTCCCATCTGAAGTGACAGCAAAAATAGCAGCCCAGTATGAGTAAACCACTGGGTATTTTGTCAAAGTGTCAAGTGACAGCACTTTCGACTCACATCCCCTACAATAAGAACTGAGAGACTGTTTCAAAGAATCAGGTTTGAATACTGGAAAATAGCCGATCACATCCCTACCACGCAATGCCGTCACGGGGAGTGGTCCCACTATGCTAATATATGATTATAACGCTGATCACCTGTTCTTCCTCCAAAGACTATTTCTTCCAAGCACCTCCCAAGATCATCTTGCTGAGTGACACATCTCTTAAATGTCCATCTCTGCTCAGACTGCCCACCCTTCTCAGTGACAAAGGTTAATAGCCTTCTAAGACACATTCTTAAAAATCACTCCTTGGATATTATCGTAGACATCGTTCCCTCCTCTGGTTTAACTGCACATATCTTTACTTGGAACTTTTTAAAGGTAGCTCCGTGACTTGCCCATTGTCTCTTTTGTAGAATATTAAAAAATCAAAACTGAAAAGTACCGATACTAATACATAAGCATCTGTTTATGTTAGCCGTGTGCTCAACACTGGTTTGAGAGTTTTACATGTATTGACTGATTTAATCACTGTAACTGATGCAGAAGGCTATGATCTTTTAGGGCAAGTAAAGTTGGACTTGAAAGAAATGAAGCACTCACTTCCCTCAAGGTCACTGGGAGATTTTGTGAATCTACAGAGCAGCATTAACATCTAACACCATTGAAGAAGTGGCTTCAGATCCGTGGATGCAAATCACTGCTTTTCTCTGCCTTACTGTGTGACAGAAAGACAGATCTGAAGAGAAAGAAGAGGAGGAAGGCAGCTAGATGTGAGTGAGATCAGTGATGAGGTGAAGGTTAGCTTCGTCTGGTCAACACATCCTAGAATGACTGGAAAGACAGTCTCAATGGGGGATTATCCATATTGGATTGGCCTGTGGACATATCTGTGGGGATTATCTTAATTAAGTGATCTGGGAGACCAAGCCCACTGTGGGCAGCACCATTTCCTAGGCAGAGGTTCTTAAAGAGTGGAGAAGCTGAGCTGAGCACAACCAAGTGAGCATGTGTTTATTCCTTTCTCATTTGACTTCGGATGTGACGTCCTCTGAAATCCTAGTCTCCCGTCCGAGTGATTTCCCTTTAATTATGGATGATAACCTGGAATGGTGAACTACAATAAACCCCTTCCTCCCTCCTGAGTTTTGCCAGGGTATTTTGTCACAGCAACAGAAACGAAACCAGAACAAGCAGCAAGTAGAAGAAACATCCAAAGCAAAACAACACCTCCATGCTGAAATGGCAACTTTGTTCTCACTTTCTAGCTAGCCACTGGGTGTTGTTGACCTACTGCAAGGAGAACCAGATTAAGCTAGATGGTGCCAGTGGAGTTCAGAGCATCCGAAAATGTGGCACCATTCTTTGACACCAAGTCCCCTGAAAACCACCATGGTAAGTACCTGTTTTGTTTTTTGTTTGTTTGTTTGTTTGTTTGTTTGTTTTTTGTGTGTTTGTTTTTGTTTGTTTGGTTTTGGTTTTTTTAAACACAGAACAGCACACCTTACTTCTAAGTAGAGATGAGCCGTAAACACCACAGCTATAGGCCCAGTTTTGCCAACTTCTATGTGACCTATTTGCTGTGTTTTACTTCAGATTCTCCAAAGAGATAATCTTTAGTGACTGTCCCAGCATTGTCTCTCCAGATTCCTGGGCTCCAGAACCTGGGATTCTAGTTCTATTTCTTGATCACTCAATCCACCTAGCCAGATACGGGTGTTCTCTTGGAGTAAGTACAATACAATAGTACGACAATAAATATTATCACATCATAAATTCTGGAACAATCTTTACACCTCGTCATTCTTGCCTTCATTGAACTTACAACATGCCATGTGCATGGCACAGCTGGACACAGCTGGTGGAGGGAGAGAAAGGGTTAATTTCAGCTTACGTGGCCCAGTCCTGGAACATCCTATGTCAGAGAATTGATCCACCACTGATCTATTGCTCGGGCCCAACTTGGAAACTTTTTAAGATTCCTTTCCTCGACATCTGCTACCAAGCTCATCAGCAACCATATTTATTGTATAAACTTAGATATTTGAATAAATGTCTACCCACCTGAGGTAGCACACCAATGACAGAAACAAAGAAATGACATCACCCAAGTGGAGGTTGGGAAAAAAAAAAGTTTAATTGCAGTTGCTTACAAGAAAATGAGCAAGTCATGAGTCGCTATCTCACTGAAGTAAAAAAAAAAAAATCTCTCTCTTAACTACTCAGAACTCCTTGGGGAAAGGTGGAGTCTTGTAAACCCCTCCCTACTCTGTGATTGAAAGTTGATGTGTCTATATTGACACAGGTCCCGTGTGGGTAGTCACAACTGCTGACAGTTCAACAATGGCCAGGTCATGCTCAAGGGCACCTCACAAGGGTCATCACTACCAGGTCCATGTCTCACCACCCTTACTGTGGACACACCCTCTTATTCTTTGTATTGAATTCTCTCTTTCCCTCCCTCACCTCCCTCCCTCTCTCTCAGATTTATTTATTTATTTTATGTATGCGTCTTCAGACACACCAGAAGAGGGCATCAGATCCCATTACAGATGGTTGTGAGCCACCATGTGGTTGCTGGGAATTGAACTCAGTGTCTCTGGAAGAGTGGTCAGTGCTCTTAACCGCTGAGCCATTTCTCCGGCCCATTGTATGGTCTCTTAACTGGTTTTACTGCTTTCTTTCTTGTACCATAACAGTACAGTTTGCCCAAATCTACTAGAATTGTCCTGCAAAGTAAATTAGAATCCATCATTTTCCTAATGCAAGTGTTCAGCCACTTCATCTTCATGTAGCACACAAAGTTCATATCTGTCCTACAACATTGCCTATATGGTCTTTGACAATCTTCTTAAAACGTTCAAGAATTGGCTTCGTGTGTTTTTTGTTTATGTCTTTTGTCGATGTCTCTGCTCAAATATAATTTCCATAAGAATCATTGACCTGACCTCTTTGTGTGAAGTACACAGCCCAACCCCATTCCTGATCTTTCTTTATTTTTCCTTAAAGCATTTACTGTTTAGATTATATTGCATTTCTAGTTGATTGTTTATTGTTTGTCTTCTCCACTGGGCTTTACACTTTATGACTATATTTTGCTGTCTGTTATAACCCTAGCAGGGAGAAAAGGTCTTTTACCCAAAGAAGAGGGTCAACAAATACTAACTGGACAAGTACTTATGTCATTTGTAGCATCTGAGTGTGCAAACTTGATCATACAGCTCCTTTTCCTAAGCTAGGCTGTGCTTCCTTGATACTCCCTGTCACTCTGAACATTTCCATGGCACAAGACCCTCCCACGTTCAGTTTCTCCCCTGACTGCTTCTATCCTACAATATGAGGTCCGGAACACACTGATCTTTCCACAGCCAGTGTGGTGCTGCTCCATCTTGGACTCCAGCATCTTCACCAGCCCTAAGCACCGGCAACCAGTAAAGGGATTCCATGAAGCAGACCGTGAGTAGAATCTTGATTTTATAGTTTATTTGGTGTTAGTGATTAGTGTGTTGGTTAAATGATGACAATACAATTGGCAGTATTTCAGCTCACATGTTATTTTGTAAATCAAATTAATTTAACACCTATTCACAGGACACCTATTGTGTGCTAGACACTGCTACTGTAGGCGCTTGGGATATTTGAATGAGCAAAATTAACAATGATTTGTGCTTTGTGAAATGTATACTCTAACAAAGGAAAGAACACACAGGAGTAATGGGTACAACTGAGAGAATGGAGCCAGAAGGAGTGGAGGGAGTGTCTGGTGTCGTATGCATGCGAGCGCACACACGAGTGTGTGTGTGTGTGTGTGTGTGTGTGTGTGTCTGTGTGTGTGTGTGTGTGAGAGAGAGAGAGAGAGAGAGAGAGAGAGAGAGAGAGAGAGAGAGAGAAATAACCCCACAGAGACAAAGGCATGAAAGGGAGACTCAGAGGTGCTGAGGAGAGTTAAGGGTAGAACAGAAGGGACATTAAATGAAGTAAAAACTGAAGTAAAACTTAGTGTCTGCAAGGTTCATAAAATGACCATGTTCTAGAGCATAAAATAACTTCCAAAAAGTACAATCTGGGGCTGGAGAAATGGCTCAGCAGTATAGAGTACTGGCTTCTCTTCCAGCACCCATGACGGGTGATTCACAGCTGCTTGTGACTCAAGCTCCAAGAGGTCTCCAAGAGGCTTTTCTAGCCTCTCCAGATACCTATGTACCCATGGCATACTGCTAACACAGACACAAACACACACACACACACACACACACACACACACACACACACACATGTACGCATGTGTGTGCATATACATATATAAAAATAAGCCTTTAAAACACTATTATTGTTTTAAAAGCCTAGAAAGGCTCACACCATGCACAGTGTACTACTGGTCACCCATGGATTAAATTAGTATCAATGTAATGATAAAAATGAATAATAAAAAAGTGAGATAACTAATTTCTAATCACTTGGAGACAGATGCTTCTAAATAAGCCATAAATAAAAGAAGAAATCAAAAGGAAATTAAGAAGTATTTCATACAAGGGAAGCCCATATGCAAGAGAACTGGTACAGCCTGTGCAGAAAGGGCTTTTAGTGAGTCAGCATGGGGTAGCCATCTGTACTGAATGCTTTGAAAGAGTCCTGTAATCCAGCACATGGGTAATTTGATGTTTGGGATCATAATGGTGACCACCCTTCCTCCTTCTCTACTTTTTTCTCCTCCTCCTTCTCCTCCTCTTCCTCCTCCTCCTCCTCCTCTTCCTCTACTTCTTCCTCCTTCTCTTCCATCTCCTCCTCCTCTTCCTCCTCCTCCTCCTCTTCCTTTTAGCAGTGTCGAGCATTACACCTAGAGCCTCTGACAAGCTAACAAGTACTCTACCACTGGTCTGAAGCCCCAGCCCTAACTCACTTTACCACACTTATAAATAACAGCACGACGCTGAGAGCATTCCATCCCTCAGAAGACACACAGGGAAGAGTGTGCGCCGGATGTGAATGCCATGGAAAGAATCGCCAGCGTCATCCACACCTGAAGTCAGTTGTGCTGACATGTAAATGTTACTCACAGGTAGACGCTTCCGTTTCTGTTTAGCATCAGACCCTTCCACTTGGGAAAGCCCAGTTTATTGGTGACATTTCCAGTCTGGTCACAGAGTCACCTACTGGGCTTGCTGTGTGCTTTAAAGTGATGTTTTCCAAAGCTGAACGTTATTTTGGAAACTCTGCGTGTTTTTTTGGTATTGAAACAAAGGTGTTGAAGCAAGTGGTCCCCATTTGTCATTGTGAAATCAGAGAGGAAGTTGCTGCCTACGAGACACATACAACCTATGCACAGCCTGGTTTTGGTGTTGTAGAGTTTTGCCAGATTCTTTGGAATTTGGTATGTTTGGAATGTTTGAAATATATGAACATTTCCAGAAACTTTTGTGCCAGTATTTTCCTTATAGACATATTCATCATGTATATTGGGTTTCTTTTATGCAGACGTATGTTTCTGTAGCAGACATGCATTGAGTTTCCCCTGACCTTCACATGCTCTACAATTGCCAGACACTCATACCATCAGAACTGCATGAAACTTAAATCCCTGAACTCGGGAGCGTCAGTTTAGGGAGGGACGGAAGCATACACAAGGCACTATCGTGCAGAGACAAGCAGCTGACCAGTAAACAGGAGACATGGCGTTAAAGAGGAGGAAGTGGCTTTTTAAGACGCTGCTTTCTCGAGCTGCGGGTTGTACTTGAACCGATGAGTGATTCTGAGTAACTCCTTGATTGAGAAAAGGATCTGCACGGGCACCTGCTGAAGATTGACTTGATGTGTGGCTTTGGGGCCGATTAACTAGATGCAACTGGATAAAGTTTTGTGTGTGTTCGGGCCTCAGCCCTGAGAACCTCATCGGTGCTGGGCAGGCATTTCTGTCTGGTAAATCCTTTTGAGAAGTCATGTCTAGGTTTGAATAACTTTAGCATTAGTTCCCCAGTGTCTATGTGCAGTGTGTATCTGCCTGGGATGTGCAAGGCCCTGTTTGGTTTCCCCAGGACCACATATAAATTACGTGTCGTACTTTTTTATGTATCCACATTCCCTGGAAGCTCATAGCCATAGGTTCAAGTCCACGCTGAGTTACAGGATTTAGTTGTAATCTATGACTATTTGTGATATACCTGACAAATCTGATGTTAACACTTGAGTGAATTAAAAACTCTTGAATGTCAACAAGAGAAAGAGAAAGAGAGAGAGAGAGAGAGAGAGAGAGAGAGAGAGAGAGAGAGAGAGAGAG